ACCAACCCACAGGTACCAATCTGAGGTTTTGAGACAAAGATCGGATACAAGAGATGAACTAGGGTTTGAGAGGAGATGGTGCTGGTGAAGATGTTGATGGATATTGACCCCCTCTCGATGAGAGGATTGATGGTGATGACGATGGCGACGATTTCCCCCTTCCGGAGGGATGTTTCCCCGGCAGAACAGCTCCGCCGGAGCCCTAGATTGGTTCCGCTCAGGTTCCGCCTCAAGACGGCGACGCTTCATCCCGAAAGCTTCCTTATATTTTTTTCCAGGGCAAAAGACACCATATGGCAGAAGATGGGCATCGGGGGCCTGCCTGGTGGCCCATGAGGCAGGGGGCGCGCCCAAGGGGGTAGGGCGCGCCCTCCACCCTCGTGGCTGCTGGGTGGCCCCCCTCTGGTGCTTTCTTCGCCCAATATTTTTAATATATTTCAAAACTGACTTTCGTGGAGTTTCAGGACTTTTGGAGTTGTGCAGAATAGGTCTCTAATATTTTCTCCTTTTCCAGCCCAGAATTCCAGCTGTCGGCATTCTCCCTCTTCATGTAAACCTTGTAAAATAAGAGAGAAAAGGCATAAGTATTGTGACATAATGTGTAGTAACAGCCCATAATGCAATAAATATTGATATAAAAGCATGATGCAAAATGGACGTATCAGGTCGCGAGCGAGTGCGCATGTGGCGGCAGCGGCTGCAGGCGGAAGGGCGCGGGCGCGGCCACGCACGAGCGGGCGAGCGCGGGCCCACGTGGGCGCTAGCTGGTCGCAGCAGACACGGCCGGCGTAGAGCTGCGGTGTGCGCGGTCGCAGGTGGCTGCTTTGGGAGCTGGGCTGCTGGCCCTGCTCCCTTAGTGCTAAAGGGGAAATCCTCTTCATCCGTGCATGCTGGCGCGACCTCTGCCATCGTTTAACGCCGCGCGCGTCACCCACATGCTAGGCGCGAGACCGCATGACCGAGTCGAACAACGCTTGCCTCGTGCGCCGCAGGGAGGGTGCCTCGGGAGGCCATCACAAGAGCCCGCCTCGCGAGACGGCCTCGTGAGGCTCTCGGTGAAGCTGCTAAGTCTTGTCTGCTCGCCCACTCCTTGGGGTGGAGGCCTCATGAGGCCAGGACCTCACGAGGGGTCTTGTTCTCAATGCCCGCTAGTGGGCCACTCGTTGGCCCTTCGCCATGCACCGCGTCCTAGGCCAAAGGCAGACGGGCCTGGATACCCTGGGTTCCACCGGCCTGACAGTTTCACTGTAGTCGATACCCTCGACTAGGGAGTGGCCTTGAGCTACCAATCTTTCCTTGTTGCTAGTGACAACACCGTTCACATCTTGCTTGTCCTTGAAGATCCATTTGGTTCCAATTGAAGGGGAGTGAAGCATGAAAATCAAAAAATTCCTACAAAACACACAAGATCCAATCTAGGAGATGCATAGCTATGAGAGGGGAGTGTATCTACATACCCTTGTAGACCGAAAGCATTAGCGTCATAACGTTGTTGATGTAGTCATAGTCTTCACGATCCAATCGCAATTCAATATGACGCACCTCCGAGATTAGCACACGTTCAGCTCGATGGCGTACTTTCTTTCTTGATCGCCAGCGAGGAAGAGGAGGTAAATGAGATAGGAACCAGCACAGCGGTATGGTGCTGGTGGTGGCAGCGGAATTTCGGTAGGGCTTCGCCAAGCGCGTACCGGAGGAAAGATGGGAGAAGTTGGGAGTGATGGGGGGCAAGGGTGGAGGCATATTGATGCCCTCCCACCTCCCCACTATATATAGGGGTGAGGGGGAGGGGCACCGACCCTTGGCCCATCATCCTCCAACGAGGGGGTGGCTTGCCCCCCAAGTCAAGGGGGCACCCCCATCTAGGGTTTTCCCTTAGCCCTAGGTGCATGAGCCAAGGGGGGCTGGTGGGCCTAGCCCATCTAGGCCAGGGCGCCCCCTACAGCCCACATGGGTCCCCGGGGCTGGTGGACCTTCGGAACCCTTCGGTGCCTCCGGTACACTTGTCGGCATGCCCCCGAACTTTTCCGGCAGCCAAAACAGGACTTGCCATATATAAATCTCTACCTCCGGACCATTCCGAAGTTCCTCGTGATATCTTGGATCCTATATGGCACTCCGAACAACCTTTAGACTTTCTACTATTAATATCCCTAATGAAAGAAAGTGTTTCTACCACAACGCAAATAATCATAAGTTTATGTAAGTGTGGTAACAACATTTTTCTACATCGTATAAGCACAAATTTTTTTGTTTATGTTAATGTTTTATTAAGCATGCATGGTTCATTAACCCATATGGATTTCGCCCGTCCCACCAAACTATACGCCGAAGAGGAATGTTGCATCATGAGACCCCAAAATATGTCCCATTCAGGGCTCTATGGGTAGAAATGGCATCTTCTAGCTTCTTAAAGTCGATGTGTGCAGAAGTTTGATCACTGAAGAAATTAGCACCTTCAATCGTCCCAATCTTTGAAAAACTCTTAACCTGCTTCCTGCTTTTAAATAGATGAATTAATTCCTCCAACACATAGGTTCCTAATAGCTCTAGCTGTAAAAACCAACGAACAAACACAAGCCATCAGAAGGCATACTATTATGTAATGAAACAGAAAAATAAAATCATCATCCAAGCAGTCCTAGCAACAAAACTTATGAGGTAGCTATGGATTTACCCGCTCTAAATTAAAGTGAAACATATCAGAGATAGCATGCACGTCAAAGTTATATCAAATCACAGCCTGAATAACATCAAATTGTGTCACCTGTGCACAACACATTACACAGTAGCAACAGATGAATGGAGCAATTTGACTCGAGAAAAAAACAACTACCACCAACAAAGGATAATACAGTATTTGTACACCATTCAAACTGAAATCAAACCATACCATAGGGACTAGATATTGACCTATTCCATAGAAAATTTTAGCTGGAATTACACCAGTAAGTATCATGAGGGCATAAGTCTTTAAACTACGCCATCATAGCAATATTACCCTAGAACAAGAAACAATCATCAATCTAGGACTATATTACAACATATATCATCCTACATAGTATAAATCACATAAAAGAGTGAGCCCACGGGATAATAATGTTGAGAAACATAGTAGAAAACAAAAAAAAATCGTGCCTACGATCACCCAAGATCAATATGAAGATGCATAATGGGTTGGGATCACGATCATTACCGGCACCGAGTTGCGGGGAAGAAGATCATGTTGGTGTAGATCGTACTTGGAGTCCCTAGAACCGTCGATGAACGATCCCTCGTGCCGCCCACGAATAGTCCCTCGAGCCGAAGACCAAAAGCACGACCTCTCTGCTTGGTTGCAAGCATGCAACTTTCACGATCCGGCAGCGCTTCATCGTCCAGAACTAATCACCGCCAGAGAATTAGAGGGATAAGATTAGAACCACATTGGGCTTCTAATTATGAGGACAAGAAGATTAGCCTAGCTCTTATTAATCAACTAGGACGAACTAGAAGTAGAACTAGAAAAACTATAGGATGCTCCAAAACTTCTATTTGCAATAGAGCAAAAAAACCTAGTAAATATAGGTTAGAGGAGGAGGAGGGGGCAGCCACCAAGGAGGGAAAGTCCCTCCTTGGGGCACCGGCCAAGGGGTAGGAGTAGGACACCTCCCTTAGTCCAATTCGGCCCCCCTATATGGCAAGGGAGCACCACTTCCTTATGGGCCTTCATGGCCAATAATTCCCTCCACCACTTGGCCTTTTTAGACTAGTCGATATTTAAATTAATATAAAATGTTTTAAATACTTCTAGATCATTTTATATGTTTTTAACATCTTTGGAAATATTTTCCACCTATATATAATATCGGTAATACCCGATATTAACCGATATTCACCGAAATCCTTCCGATGACTCCGTAGCGCTTCGGATCCTCTCGGAACTATTTCGAATATTAATGTAATAATTCCACAAGCATATTCTCATGAATCCCGTCCTACTAAAATTCAGAAATTCAGCGGATCATAATTGCCTCAAGCTTGTGACCCCGTAGGTTCGGTAACTCACAGATATGAACGAAACCGTGCGTTCAATGACCGACAGCGGGACCATGGACATCCATGTCAATCGAATGATATTCGAGTGAACCTTTGGTTATCATGAGACGTTACCTTTCCTTCGTGATACTTTATAAAACCTCGGCAAAAAACCTAGGATGCATCAGTATCCTCCTAAGTCACAACTATGCTCATTGTACCGAAATCCTCGTTATCGGTTTTTTTGTTCTTTCTCGGACATCACGTGTATACCGTAACTGTTTGTGATGGTGTCCACCATGCTTTGTGTTAATTAAGAGGACAATCCTCTTCTGCTTAATTAACAGCTGAATCAAATCTTTTGCGGCGGTTTCAAAAATAAATCACTTGGGTCATCTTGTCCGACCAATGGACACAGCAGCTCCTATCACTCTACCCCTGCATCATGCCAGTTACCGGAACGACGAGCATATTGGAGTAGTGCGCAGCAGGCAGATCGCCCAACCAACCTACGACGGCAAGGGAACACCGGGCGTCACGCCGGGGTAATCACACGAAACGCGCCTAGCTTTGGGGCCGTCACCATTGCCCAGTACAGAAAATGCAACGCGCATCCGAGAACCGAGACGCGCGAAAGGGGAAGCACGGCACCGGCCGTTGACGACCAGGGCCGTCGTCGTGCAATGCATACACTATCGCAAAGTTGGCACGCACCGGTGACCGAAGACGCGCCGCACATCTTGCACCCTACTCCCCATCTGCTCCCGCAGGCTCAGCTAGCTGCCCGCCACCACCACCAAGTGGGGAGAGCTCAATCAGCAAGGCCGGACCCAGTTGCAACCGCACGTCTGACTCTTCCAACCCACCAATTCGTTTCGCTTCGTTAATCGTTATCCAAGAAGAAAGGAGAGGGGGGATTAGCACGAGTAGTAAGATCAAAAGCAAAAGACTCTACTGTACAAGCGGGATTCGTGTCTGCACTGTCACTTCCACTCCCGGGTGTCGCAGGGGGAGCACCCTTCCAGCGCGACGTCGGCGATCTGCACCCCGGTGTCGTACACCCGGCCGGCGGCCCACCGCCGCGGGAGGACCTCCCCTTCGGCCCACACCCACTTCCCGTCGTACCCGCCTGTGACCACCATCCGGAGCTGCAGCGGCCCCGCCGGCGCCTGGCCCGTGCTCCACGCCGGCCCGCCGCGCTCCCGCGTCATGGACCTCCAGTTCGACGACCCGGCCGCCGCGACGTCCACCGCCACGATGTCGGTCTGCCCGCCCTGGTACAGGAACCTGATCGTCAGGCCGCCGGGCGCGCCCTCCTCCACGCGCACTGACAGGTTGCGGCGGCGCGCGTACTCGCAGGGCACCCGCTTGTACTCCACGCCCACGGCGCGCCGCTCCCTCAGCTGCCGCGCGGCGGCCGTGCCCCCGCCGCCCAGGGCCATGGCCGCGTACGCCGCGCCGCTCAGCACGAGGTCGGTGCGGTTCGTGGCCGTGCCGCGCGCCTGGTCCGTGACGACCACCGTGGCGCCCGCGGCGCTGCAGAGCGCGGCGTCCGTACACCGGACCTGATAGCACGCGCCGCAGCCGACGCCTCCCCTGTACAGCGCCGGGCCCGCGGCGGCGAGGAGCCCGCCGTTGAAGGTCGCCGCCAGGGAGCCGTACCCGCAAGAGCCGGCTGCACGCAGAGAGAAACCGAATCAATCAGCCGAACCACGAACAACAAACCGTAATAAACGGAAGCGAAACGCACCATTGTGGAGGGCGGGCGAGGAGGCGCGGTACGCCGCCTTGGACCGGCGCACGCACCGGTCGCACGCCGAGGCCGGAGACGAGGCAGCGGCGAGGAAGACGAGCAGGATGATCAAACGCGATCGAGCGCTCGCCATCGGTGGGGGCTTGAAGACGGGTGCGTTACTCGGAGTGGTCTACAACTTCTTAGAAGATCGAACAGAACAGGACAGGGCAGAACAGAGTAGGATGGATTCTTGCGAGCAGCTGGGCACGAGCCAAGCTTTATACCCGACGCGGCGCGCACGCTGGTTGGCCGGTTGCGGTTTACGAGATAACTGCGCTGGCCCTAGGTGCCGCCAGCCTCGAAACCAGACGGCCGCGGTCTCGTAAAGGTTTGGGGTGGCCACCGACCCTGGAGACGCGTGCCGCAACCCGCGCGCTCCAGCGAGTGGTACTTGAACTGCTCGAAGTTGTACTAGGATAAACTCTGGTAACCACGTCCCATCGGCGGGCAGCCTGGCACGTGGCGAGGTAACGGCACGTGTGGATGCCGTTTTGTGAACACGCGTGTGTTTCTTTACTTTTATATATACCCCCTCGAGAGGGTTTCCACTTGCTGTTACCTCCAAAGGGAAGGTAGTAATTCCTGAGGAAAGAATCAACTCCTTTGCCGATCAAGGAGGAGGCGTTTAACGGAGGTGACGGGCAAACGAGTGGGATTTGGGTTCCAGGGGATAAGGATAGAAGTGGCGGCTAGGCTTGCACTTGCACGGTTTGAATAGGGGACGAGATCACGACCGATTTAAAGCGTTTCCTTGGGGCTTATCGCGAACCACGGCCGTCGACGGCGCCACCGCCGCGCCCACTGCTGCTCTCGTCTCATCTCATCGGTGCCCGTCTGTGTGGACGCCGCCTTCACAATTCGTCCTACGTGGCAGGTCCACTGTGCTCCGATTGTTTATTCATTTAGTCCGCATCGGCCTTGATCTGGACACGTCAAGCGCCTCGCGTCCATCGCCGTTCAGGATAACCACCAGTGCCTTGCACGTACGCAATAAACGGATTGGCTCAGCTCAATCAATAGTTCTTGGTAGGGCCACGCCGCGAAAGGCATGTGCTTACCAAACAAGGGTCGGCTTACACGCCTGGTTTTGGTTCGGAGAGAGAGAACAAATTCTCTCGACTTTCTTTGTCTGGTGCAAACCGCTCATGAGTTACACTCGCATGGGTGCTCGCGGTTTCGTGCGCCCCTCCTACAACTGCATGCCCTACGGTCTTGTCGAATGGATGACACATTAATGCCAGCCAGTCATGCTAATCCCAGCATGATTGCGGTGGTCCATGGGTTTACATCTTATCATGATTCTGGACGACGGGCCCCCGATTCAACGAGAATAGACAAATTGGCGCGAAAGTGACCTCTAACAGTCCTGATATCCCACCCGAACACTAAATTGGTCTCCTCTCTCCGTTGAGACGTCACCGGCTTAAGCAGCTCGTAGCGTCTTGTGTTTCACCGGTTCCTGTGCGCGCATAAGATGCCGCTGCGCGTAAGCTGACCGAAGACAACCGGCATTGCAACGCGGCCGGCAGCAGTACGTGGCGTAGCAGTAGCACCGTGGGTTGGAGTCGTCAGAATATACTCCCTCCCTCCGTTTCTTTTTAATCTGCATATAAGATTTGGTCAAAGTCAAGTTTTGCATAGTTTAACTAATTTTATATTAAAAAATAGCAACATTCACAATATGAAATCTACATTTTCAGATGCACCATGAAATGTATTTTCATATTATATAGTTTAAGTATTGTAGATGTTTATATTTTTTAATATAAATTTGGTCAAACTTTGTGTAGTTTGACTTTGACCAAAATTTATACACGGAGTAAAAAGAAACAGAGGGAGTACTAGTAGCAGCACTACATATTAATAAGGAAAACGTTGGCGATCGGCACGCCGGCCGAAGATTACGCCGGTCTCACGCTCGCCGTTCGATCAAACCCGATCGAACAGACCGACCACACACGACGCAGCCCATGTGAGGCTTCTCCACGCGTCCTTGCTGGCCCACGTGCCATGGGCCCACGCACACATGCGCGCGACGGTGGGGAACGGATAAGACCGTGTTGTGGCTGCCTTCTCTCTCGTTCATCTTATCTCCTCTATTGTCTCCAACCGCTCTCTATCTTGCTCCTTTCCGGTGGTCGTCGGCTCGTTCTTGGCCCCAATCTCCTCCGCTGTCGTGGTGCCGTTCGCCCCCACGGTCACCGCCGACTCTTCCATCATGGCGGGGCTCCATAGCCATGGCCATACTCCTCCCCTCCTCCCCGCCGTGCGCACCGGTGCTTTTTTTCTGCTGAGATTTGATTTTTGCTGGAACCAATGTTTCTTTTTGCTGGAACTAGCGAATTCTTTTGCTACAAATAGACTGTTGTTTCTCTGCCGATGAGATTTTTGCTGGAACCATCAGTAAATTTTGCTGGAACCAGCAAATCTGTTTGCTTCAATCTAGTACTCCGGGGGTTGATTTTTGCTGGAACCATCAATAAATTTCGCTTCATCCAACATTATGTTTTGTTGGACCAGCTAGTCTTTTTGCTATTAATCTTTTTTTTCTATCCCTTTGAAGTTTGTTGTTGTGGCCCTTTTAATTGCATCCGGTGTTATATTTAGCTGGAACCGGCAAATGTTTTGCTTCAACTGAAGATTTAGAGTTTTTTGTAATAAAGCTTCAACCGGGCACAATGAAAACCGAAAAAGCTTCAACCATTGCCTGAAAAGCTTCAACTGTATATGTAAAAAGATTCAACCCTTGCGTTTGAGAAAGCTTCAATCGAGCACAGCGAAAAGAAAAATAGCTTCAAGCATCACGAGAGAAGCTTCAAGTGACATGGAAAAAAGCTTCAACCGATGGCAGGGCGGTGCTGCATCGGCGTGCTACGACGGCGGCGGGCGACAACGGGGTTGCTACGGGACGACGTCGAGGGGCGAGCCAGCGGCAGGGGTGGAGGTGAGGAGGTGCGGGGGCGCGCGGGACATGCGTGCAGGGAGTGGGTCAGGCGGGGAGGAGACGCGGGGGAGTTCGTGGGAGCGAGGAAGGAGACGACCGATTCCAGCGCGAACCCTTTTTTCTTTTCCTGACCCGAGTGTGGGCGTGATCCAACAGTTGTTACTGTTCTGTGCGGGTCATATCCAACGGCCCGGAGGCGACCGACCGAGTGTTTGGGCCGGCGCACCGGCGCAGATCACTGCCCATTAGTATTTGACCTTGACTTGGTCGACGCTAGCGCTTATCCCTCCGATTCTGACTCGACATCGCGCACACGGCAGCGGAATCCCGCGTCAACCACTGCATCCCAAGTTCCCAACGGCCTTCCCTCCAACTACAGCGGCAACACCGGCGCCCGGTTCTGGACTGGCAGTGGCGGACAGACAGTGGTTGCACTTGCACTTGCGATAGTGCCACTAGCCCAGGCTGTGTGCTCTGACCTGGTCAGCCGACCGGACCTTAAACAAGCCCGCTGACACGACGCGCAGTGAAGGCCCAAGCCCAAGCCACGACCTGAAACTTCCGTGCATTCAACATGCTTGGACTTTGCAAACGAGGATGTATGTATGGGTGGAGGCCTGCCGTTTCCTGGCAGGGGTTGATTACCCTGGCAACTTGATTACTTCGTGCCACTGCCCACCGGGCACCGGCACCGGCACCCGCTTTCTATTCCCGTTCTTTTCTCAGGACGCAGTAGGTTTCTCTTCTTCTCCCTTCCCTTGGGCTCCAAGCTTTGCACGGCGACGGCGGACACGTTTTCCTTTGGCTCCCATGTCGGCCTGCTGCATGCGCTGCAGCGTGGCGTCCTGTGCTGGCGGCACTGTGGACTGCGGCGGGTCAGTTGACGCTGCGGTTGGCATGTCAACGTCGTGGCCGTGGGTCGCTTGCATTCGTCTGCAAGGGAGGCAGCCTGCCTGCCCGCTCTGCCACCGATGACATCGACACAGCTGCGGAGACGCGTAGCGCAGATTACAAATGTGCTAATGTACTCTGCTCTCGGAAGCGGTACCCCTGTGTGAAGCATCAACTCTTTTCAGAGACAAATCAAGCAAAGCTTTACTGGGAGCTCTCAACTATATAAAACATAAACCATGTAACTGGTACTCCCTCAGTCCCATAATAAATGTGACGGATGGAGTAGTATGCATTACGGTCGTTCTACAGTTGATTCAGTAATGAATCTAGCGAGCTTTCTGTGCAGCAGTTCTTTTTTCCTTTTTGACAGCAAATGGACTTCATTATCTAGCAAGCAGGGTAACTTACCAAGACTGATACTACAAGAAAATCTGGTGGATCCTCCAGCCAGGAACCATGAAGCGAGTGTCGTGGAACTGCTCCTGTTTACCCCCAACCTCCCCCAGCTGATCACAAATGGAAAGCAGAATCAACATTCAGCTTGGTAGACCTTGCCAGAGCTTGTGCCACTGTCAGTGAACGTGTTTGTAGCTTCCCTGCTCGTTTCTTGTTACTTGTAACCGTCTGACTGATCATTGCTCGCCGGGTGCTTTTCAATGCTTCGCAATACGCAGATTTTCCTCCACTTTACCTCCATTTTTAACTTCTGTAAGGGGGAAACAGAAAGAAAGATAGAAAAGATGTGGCTCTGGGCCATGTAAGCTACACGGGCGAGAAGGGCAAGTGAAGGCCAAGTCATTCGGAAGGCAAGTGCATGATTGTTTGTCAAACATCAGGATTAGTACTCCCTCCGTTCACATTTATAAGTCATTTCAGACAACTGAAATTGAGCTGTTTTGCATGCTGTCTGAAATGTCTACAACGTCTTATAAAAGTGAACAGAGGGAGTACTAATTATAGCAGACTAGCCATCTAGAGTGATGTTTGACACACTGAATGCAGGCATACAACTAAATTTCAATCACTGGAATCTCTACCCCCAGCATACATATGCAGCGCCTGATATCTACTACTAGATGATACCCGTGCGCTGACACGGGAAAGGGTTGCAATATATTTCAATGATATTCAGGTGTCTTGATACTTAGCACTGCATATATGAAGAATCATCCTCACCAATGTTGAAGTTACATATTATCTATAGAAGTTGTCTATAAAGGGGAGCTATGTTCCGTTAGGAACTTGGAATCGAT